TTATGCGAGTGGTGGAGGTGGGAGGAGTTTATGTGAGTGGTGGAGGGGGGAGGAGTTTATGTGAGTGGTGAAAGGGAGGAGTTTATGTGAGTGGTGGAGGGGGTGGAGTTTATGTGAGTGGAGGGGAGGAGTTTATGAGAGTGGAGGGAAGGAAAAACATGTTGCAAAATAACTAATAAAAAACCCATTAGACTTAAAAAATTATAAAATCCTTTCAATAGGTTCTTAAGAAACGGTTAAGATGTTTTTAAGAAATGGTCAAACGTGCGCTTTTTGATGGAACTAAATTTCTGACCAGCTACGATTTATGAATCAGCGTATTCAGCATTGAATTTGCTACAAGAATATGCCCATAATTCAATATCCAAAATTCCTGGCCTTTTCACCCTGTTGCTCAAAAATAGCTTTGCCGACAACTGGGACCCTTCTCCAGGCACACAAACTTTTCTCGTTCTCGATGACAGCAGCTACACAGTCAGTCCGATGTCACGCACAAACTGTGCAGTTCACTTCAACTCTGAGAGACTGCCATAGAGCTTTCTCTCAAGGGGAGCCACATTCTGCCACGTCTGTGTACGAAGGGTGGCGTAGCGCGGGCAGTGCTGAAGGATATGGTTGGCATCCTCTTGGTTGTGTCCACATTCACAAATCGCTGACTCTCTCACTTTTAATTTGGTGTGCATATGGTGCTTGCACACAAACAATTAATGAGTCTTCAGCAAACGGCCAACTCTCACCTCTTGTGCATGGCGGGCTGCACGTTGAGCTTGATGAATCCCAGCTCGGACACCAGGTACTGCTTGTACTCCGCCATGAACCGCTGCTTGAGCTCCATGTGCCACGGCTCTTCTTCGTCCGCCGCTCGACTCCTCGTACGCCCGATGGCGCTGGCCTCTGACCCCTTCCGGGTCATCTCTTCGGGGAACCTGACCTTGACACTGATGTTGGAGGCGCCAGAACTGTGCCTTGACCTCTGTTAGATGAAAAAAGATGTGGAAGTGTTGTTGGTTCCAGTTACGACTTTAGAAATCATTTCACTGAATATGAGGAATGGCCTCTCCTTAAGGACGAAAAGGAATATTTCAAAGTATCAATAAGTAGGTTTAATAAAAATCAAGCTGTTGTTTAAATACTATACACTAGAACTGGGACGAACATAGAGCTTCAAAACAATGTCATTGAGTCGTAGCCCACAGCAAGTCAGATTGAGAACTGACATTATATAAGAACTAATGATACTGAAAAAGATGTAGAAGGAGCAAGCTGCATCAGGGTATCCATAAAACCATACTCACAGAGGACCGATTTTATCTTAAATTTATTTTTGATAAATCATTGAAGCACACAGTATATCCTCTTGAAATAAAGCTGAACTCTAAGGCAGAAAAAACCCTCAAAATTAGAGACTAGATGGGAGAAAAATTCCTTAAAAACCCCCCCCACACATCCCTCATAATAAAAAAGCACATCTACTCATACTTGTACACACACACGCGCACACACACACACACACATACACACACACACACACACACACAAACAATCATCATTATCACATGGAATGTGCATTTCTTTATATCTTGCATCGTCATTGACTATTGACCTGACTGGAATCTCTTGCCATTGTGTTAACATGCCTCACAGAAGAATGAAAAGTCAGTTGTGTTAAAAAAACACAGTGATTCTAAAAAATTTGTCTTTCAATTAAGCAACAGCTGCTCAAATATGCCACATAAGTTTGAAACAGAAAAAAATAATTGTAGTACAAACATGCATTTCAAAGAAAAAAGGAATGAAATGAAAACAAATCTAATGGAAATGCATGTCTCTATATACAGAGATGTGTGTCAGCATCTGCGATAGTGAGCTTTGCGACTCTGTAACTAGATATGTGTAATGCACACATAAAAAAGCTATACACACAAGCGCTCGCACACACACACACACACACACACGCACACACACACACACGCACAAACACATGTGTCACGAGGCTGTGGAATAAGGCACTTGTCAATTTTTCTGCATATGGAGTTATTGGTATAGCCTTAAACTTGTTCATTTGCCTTGCTTTCAATGAAAGAAAAATAAACAACAATAATATTTTAGATGTGCTGACAAAACGAGTCACTTCTCCGATTTTAGCCTATGGAAATTGATACGTCAAAGATATACGTGGAATTGGTATAATGTGAATAATAAAAGATCAATTGCAAATATTAAAATCTGACCCCAGAGTCAATTTTTAGCCAATGTCTGTATTCTTGGATTGCGAGAAGTAACTCATTTTGTCAGCACCCCTCACATATTATTATTCATTGTTGTTTTTGTAAAAATGTCAAAATCCAAAAGCTCATAGGAATTTAAAAAAAAAAAAAATCCAAAAGTTCATAGGAATAAAAAAAACAACACTTATAACTACTTGTCCTGCAGAATCCAGACACTTTTTCTTAGAAAAAAAAAAACAACAACCCATAAAAGGAAAAGAGGAAATGGGGAAAGGGGGTAAGGGGGAGGAGATGGACACACTGAGATTGACAACAAAGTACAACCCTCAACATTTTTTTGAGGCACAATCCAACACAAAACATTCCAGGATAACAACAAAGGTAAACTTCTCCATGTTATGGGCGTAAGGGGAATAATCATACAACATGGATCTAGACTGCTAGCTGAGTGGCTGAAAAACCCCTTGCTCAGGGCCGCTTTCTGTGTACTTTTTCTATTTAAAGTTTATTACACACTCCTCTATAATTCTTACTTTTTTTAGGTGGCTGACCATGATTCATTAGATCCGTTTTGTGCATAATAATAACACATAATAATAATAATAATAATAATATATAGCATTTGTATAGCGCATATCCCCGCCCAACAGCATGCTCTATGCGCTTTACACTATATTATTACCCCAGCAGACCATAGAACACTCCGAAACATTCTCAGCTTCCTGGGAAGCATACATAGACATTTCATTAACCTAGAGTTACAAAGTTCTTTCTGCACAGTACCTAGTTTTGAGAAATTTGAGGTTAAAAACTTTGAGATCTACAACATGGTCAAGCTTTTTTGGAAGCATTTCTTTGAATATCTTCCAGATAATGATTCTGAATAATCTTATGATTTTGATAGAGCAGAAAAAATGTTTGGTTTCTGAACTCATGGTCTTAGTAACTCAAAACATTTCTTTCAATATCTTCCAGATAATGATTCGGAATAATCTTATGATTTTGATAGAGCAGAAAGAACGTTTGGTTTCTGAACTCATGGTCTTAGTAACTCACAACTGCCAGAAATGTCAGACACAACTTTGTAATTCTAAGGTAGCGATTTGTTGATGATATATCCCTGTATCTCTTTCAAGGTATCCTGACTAAAAAAAACTGTCTGTATGTTAAAGCTATGTAGAGCATGCCATGAGCATACGAGTCTCAAGATGTTCACTGTTCGAGAAACAGCTGAATCCAACTTCTCCCAGGAGAGAAATTCTTTCAAACACCCAGAAACAGAATAATAGCATAGCACAGATGAGTGCTCCAAAAAATTTGATATGAACAACCCCCCCCCCCAAAAAAAAAACCCCAACAACAACCAAAACCTCCCCCCAAAACATAAAGAAAAACATAAAACAAAACAAAACAAACAACAAGATGAAATTAGGAAACAACAATTACCAAGGCTTGTACTCTCCACGGAAGTAATCTTTCACTATATCTACTAAGACAATCAAGGGTCTCTTGAGGTATTTTTCAGTAACAGGAATTGAAATATTCAGGTGCGGGGTGATGATCGATTTAGCAGAGTGGCAGATTTTAAAAAAAACTAATGGACAACAGAAATTTTACAGAGCCTGAAACTATGACAAAATTAAATAAAATCCTTATAATTTTGCTGTCCATTCTCTTGAAAGATAATTTTTTTTTAAAACAGAGAGAAGGAAATATAGAACCTACTGCAGTGACCCCCTCGATCAAGCCAACGACTCTATTTTCTTTGCTGCAACATTTTATTAATCAGTTTTGTCCTCATTATCTCAAACTGAATCCGGTATTAGCAGGTCTGTCCAGGGATAAAATACATACTCAAAACATCTCCCACCACCTTGATGTTTCTCTATCACAAGAACTTTAAAAGACAGAACTCTCTGCTTAGTAAAACAGTGGGGAAAAAGAACACTAGACTACAGAAATGAGTAAGAGATTCAGGTTACACACATATTCGTTTCAAATAAATAGTTTCTGTGATTAAGGAGCCATTCCATAAATTTGGAACAATGCTGAAATGAAATATCTGCTCACCAATTAATTACTGAGATGTCGTAGATTTTCATACAGAATCTGTTGCTACGCGGTTCACTTTTCGAGAGTATTTTCCTATATGTAGGTCATTCATGTTCTGCACAACCCCATAACTTTTAAATTTACAAACCAAATAAAATAATCTTTAAATCAAAAAACCATAATGCGCAGAACAGAAAACCCTTCCTAGGTACCAAATTAAAAAGGGCTAAAGCGAAAAATCAGTTTTTCACTGGCACTAAGTGCAATGTGATCTCAGGACAGTTAGTGCTTCAGTATACAAAGAATCAACTCTTATTTCTACTTCTACGGCGCAAAAAAAAAGAATATCTGTGGTAATAAAGTAAAGGCATGAGAAAAATCACACACCCCCCACAGCAAAATCAATTCAATTTTACTCACTAAAACAGATTAGGTACAACGGCAGAGTCAATACATCAGAGTTATAGGTCACATCAGATTCTATCTAAACACTCAGCTTAGCAGCTAGAAAGTTGTCTCTATAAAACACCATGCAGCTTCTTACAGATATTACAGGACTTGGTAGAGGCAAATAACGCGGAAACTGAAAAAGTGCATTCGTCAATTCAATATATTGAATATTATATATATTGTAGAATGTATTATTATGTATAATCAACAGGTTTTTAATGAAAACAGTTGATATACACAAAGTCTTATAAGTTTCCCATCCTCCCTCTCTCTCTCTCTCTCTCTCTCCCTCTATCTCTCTCTCCCCCCTCTCCCTATCTCTTAAACTTCATGAAGTACTGAAGAAATGAAACATGCAGATTTTATAAGATTTTATCACTGTAAGATGACATGTAAACTAATAGGATTTGCCCAAAGACAAAGAATCATAACGGCTCAGCATAACAACATTTACTTAGTGCTGGGGAAAAGATAGACAGAAACAACAGAGGGATAGCTAGGAAGTAGGATTTGCAGGTGGCAACCCCCCCCCCCTTGTCCCCCATGCAGAAAAGAAAGGAGTAAGACCAAAATTCTCTCAAGCCACCACCGCAATAAGTTGGAAGACAACTTAAGACTGTTTAGTTTTAGTAAGAGTTTTACGGCACTAGCAACACAATAAGGTCATATAAGTGCCGAAGAACAGATGTGTTACAAGAGAGTAACATACACAAAAAGCAAGAGGAGAGATAAGGATTATAGATGTTTGATAGGAAAGAAGGAGCAAACCACACCAGAGCACTTAAGACTGAGAAAATGATTATTTGTTTATATGTATACACAGCCTTATCTTGCGCACACAAACACACACACACACACACACACACAGACACATTTATCACATACCCACAGACAGACACACACAAATTACACATACACATACTAATCACCCATACACATCAAACATATCCAAGACAAACAACCATTGTCGAAGAATAAAGTGGTCATCTCAGGCGGTCCTCCTGAACAATGTCACTATAAAAAATTTTTTAATGCAAGGGGGGAGTGGGATGTGGTTGTTCGAATAGGTGATTGTCTTGGACTATGGTCATTAGAGCTGCTTCGTCTGTGCTTGTATTTAAAAAACCCCAAAGAAACAGATGAATAGTGGTGTGACGCAGCAAAAAACAAAGACAACTGACAAGCAGGGAGAACCTTCTTCGTCATACACTTACGCTAACACAATAAGTACACACATGGTAAAAACTAAATAATAATAATAATAATAATAATAATATTATAATAATAATACTAATGATAGCATTTGTATTGGGGCAAATTTCCGCACAACAGCAAGCTGTATGCGCTGCCTTACAATCTATATTATTACCCAAGCAGACTTGATAGCATTCTGAAACAATCTCAACTTCCTGGGAATACAAAAAAACCCCCACAAAACCCCAACCGCTAACTGAATTGAGAAACACACTGACAATACACAATACAGAAAAAAAAAGAAAAGGAAAACAGAATTGAGAAACTCACTGACAATACCGTAAAAAAAAACAACCCCATGACAGAATTGAGAAACACATTGACAATACAAAAAAAAAAAAAGAAGGAAAACAGAATTGAGGAACACACTGACAAGACAACAAAAAAAAAGATAACGGAATTGAGAAACTCACTGACAATACAAAAAAAACAATGAAACAAACAATAACAGAATTGAGAAACTCACTGACACTACTGAAAAAAACCCAACAACAATCGATAACAGAATCAAGAAACACACTGACAATTTTTAAAAAACCCAACTGATAACGGAATTGACAAACACACTGACCGTCCTCTGACCCTTGTCGGGCGTGGCTGGGGTGGTGGCAGCCGACCCTGGTGTGGGCGTTGTTGCTCCCCCTGCTGCTGCCGCCCCCGCGCCGCTGATGAGGGTGGAAGAGGAGGATGACTGCGTCGGTGCCGAGTGATGGTCTCGGTGAGCTCCTCCGTCCTGACGCCATCTGTCGGCCTTGGCCGTGGTCTTCTGGACAACGTTCTGTCTCCACGAGGCCGAGAAGATGAGGGGGGTGGCGCAGTAGTGGAACAGCCGCCCCGCTCGCTTCAGTTGGATGAGGTAGTCTTCCTACAGGGCCGTGGGAATGATGACATTAGCAGGACGTGAAATACGCTTTGGTTTTTAGTAAGAGTTTTACGACGCTTGCAACACAGTTAGGTCATATAACTGCCGAAGATTAGAGGTGTTACAAGAGAGTAAGAAACACAAAAAAGAAAGAGGAGAGATCAGGACAATAGATGTTTGATTGGAAAGAAGGAGCAAACCACATCAGAGCACCCGCTAACCACCCACATGGAAGATGGGACAGGATGGGAAAGGATGAGAAAGAGACAGAGTGATATGAGAAGAGATGGAAAAGGGGCAGGTTGGTATGAGAAAGGATGAGATAGAGACAAGGTGAGAAAGAGAAGAACGGATCAAGTAGTCTTCCTAAAAGTGACATAGCAAGATGGATGGATCTCAACAGGTGAAAGTGCATGGGACAAGACGAAACGAAATGAGAAGGGATCGGATGGGATGGAGTTGAAAAGGATGAGATAGAGACACAGTGATATGAAAAGAGATGAACGGATCAGGTAGTATTCTTGTAAGTGACATATGGTGATATGGATATTAGTAGGTGAATTCATTAAATTACAAGAGATGGGACAAGGTGAAAAAGGAAGGGATGAGACAGAGGTATGGGGGTATGAGAGGAGATGAATAGATCAGGTAGTTATGGGAGGGAAATGGCGAGATGGACATCAGGGGGTGAAAGTTCATGGGACGGAGATGGGTGAAGTTAGATGGGATACAATGGGATTGGAAGGTATGAGAGACACAACAAAGTGGTTTGAGAAGAGATGAATGAAATAGGTAGTATTCCTCTAGGCGGAATGGTGGGGATGGATCTTAGAAGGTAAAACTACATGAGACAGGACTGGGTGAAATGTGTGTGTGTATGTGTGTATGTGTGTGTGTGTATGTGTGTGTGTGTGTGTGTGTGTGTGTGTGTGTGTGTATGTGTGTGTGCGTGCGCGCATCTGTGTGTGTTTGAGCATGTGCGTGTGCACGCCACTCACAGAGACTGGTGGGTTGGCTGAAGTCTTCCAGTTGGTCTCCGACCATCCTATGTACAGCTGATACAGCTTGGTACGTTCTTCCTCTGTTGGGGAAAAGTGAACAGATCTTCGTAACTACCCAAGATAATCACAATTGTTCTATACACAGTATGTGACACTATCAGGCTACTATTGTATTGAATTAAAGCATCAAGCTATCAAAATCATCTGTATTCTATTGATGGGGATGTAGAGGGGTAAAAATGAAAAGAACAGCACAAACAGACCCTGGCCTGAAATCTCTGAAAAGCCAGTTTAAAAAAAAAGAAAAAAAAAAGAAAGCTTTTTTTTGGTCTCTACAATGAAGCTTTATCGGAACAGGTCTCTTTCGATAGCAGTCCACTGGTGTTGTGTTGGACCTTTATAGCAATACTTTCAGGGAGCAGTACATTTCCCTTTTTATCTCATTAAAGAACCTATCATGCTAACCAACCCAGGAAATGGGCACTGCTAGTCTAAACGTTGAAAAAAGACCGACCTAGTAAGAAAGTTAAAGATAACAAGAAAAGCAGCCGTAAAGGAATGCAATGTGATATTAAAATAACACTGTTCTAGCAAAAATGGCCTGGTCATCACTGCACAACTGCAATGTAGTTGGTGCCTGTTATTTTCATTAGAATTCATTGTCTTAAAAGATGAATAAACAGCAAACACATAATATCACAAAGAGAACATTTCAATATCCACACACTTAACACAGACAAACCACTCTGGATGCAGTTATCAATCCATCTACTTTCACAAGAAATCTTTCCTGGAAGAAGAAGGGTTATTTATAAAAATTTGTAAACTGAATGCATCCTACAACGAATAAAATATATGCTTTCATAGGGAATAACTTCATGCAATGTTTAGCAATTAATCATAAATTGTTGGCCATAACCGAAGAAGAAACGAAAAAGTGAGTAATTTCCATGCACCAGCAAATTGTTGAGATAAAAATATGAAACAGAAAAATGACCAACACCAGAGGGTTAGCACAAGGAGTTCACCACTACATTTAACATCACCACAACCACACTAGCAGGGGAAAACAGTTCCTGAACAGGCTTGTTATGATATGAAACATATCATTTCCACAAAAAAGGTTAAATTAGGCTATTCAGTAACAAAAAAACCCCAAAACAATAAGTGTATTCACCTATGATGCTATTCCCCAGTTTGAAAAATATTTCATATACGTCGACGTTCTATTCACTGAGTCTGGATGACCCAGGCAAAAATTCAAAACTTACAAAACTTGGGAATTGTGTAATTTTCTCCCTTATAATCCCTCTGAACATAAACTGGGTACACCAATTGCCTATTTCATTATTAAGGTGCTAAAAGAATTTCATAATGAAGCTGATAAACAATTCAGAAAGCCAGCACAATGTCAGAAAGACAGAAGAAATTTGAACAAGAACACAAGTATGTCTTTCTCATGTCATGGCTTTTAACATTCTGCCACGGATTACGGTGTTACTCTGGAATACACTGACCTAGGCTGACACCAATTAATGTGTGGTGCACAACTCATTCAAGATATATCATTCATTTGCTTAGACAGCACTGCATTATGAAGACTATCATAGTTGGACATACTGCCTTCATTTCCCAATTTTTTTTTGCTGAAGTTCCATATAATTTTGTTCTTGAAAAGAAACCCTCAGCTTAATGAAAATAAAAACTACCGTATTGAATGAGGAAAATCAACACGGAATAGATTGAAGGTTTAATGTATTAGTAAGTAACCATTCTGTTAATAAACATTGGCTACCAAAACTTTAAGTGGTGGTTTAGAAGATTGCCTAAGCCAGAGTTGAAACAAAAGAGCTTGAAGGATAAAACTCCAGTTTATTAATGAAACAGAACCCAGGGACTTAGCTCCAAAGACTACTATCCACAGCGTCAGGCACCTAACCATTCCTCTTGCAGCACTAAGTTGTTGAGAGAGCAGGGGTGGGGTTGGGGGATGGGGGGAATGTCTCTTACCTTCAGACAGGAATTTCTGTGTTTCATTAAGGTGGATACCTTGCTGGTAGACAGCATCGTTTATACTGGAAAGAGGTACTTTTTCCTCAATGGCACCAGCCTCTTTGCGTAGACAGAGGCCTGGCTGGTGAGGCTGCAGCTGCTGCTGTGCCTTCTCTGAGTAGTTTCAATCACATTGCTACAGGTTAACTTGGTGCTACGAACACAGTGAAAGCATGCCAAGGATACAGTAAAACAGAACATGGTTTTTATCCCCCCCCCCCCTTTCCCCCCGGTAGTCTTTAAACTTTGCTGTAAATGGGTAACAATTTATGGGAGAACTCAATTTGTTGTACCAACAACAGAAAAAAAGACTTTTCAATAATCTTTGGGATCCGAACATAATACTTTTTCCTTATGTGTCAGATCACCATGTTACTTTGTAATAACCTTATATACTCTACTTCACCACCAAACAAAATCTAGTACAGGAAAGCCCTAAATAACTTCCAATTTGTTTCTCATCCTTTGTGTTATTTACCTGAGAAAATCAGAACCCCACAAGTTTTTTCCAAGACAATGCACCTCCCCCCCCCCCCACCTCCAATTCCCTTGACCTGTTTTACTGTATCAAAGAGAGAGGCAGTGGACAGTGGACAGTGGACACAACAACAGATTTCACTACAGTTTAGGTTTGAGCAGAAATCAGAAATGCTCAAGTGGTACAATCCACTCAATATCAAGTGGTACAATCCACTCAATAACAGAGTCATAAAGGAGCAGCATACTCTGTACTTTGTTATCATTTCTCTGCCTCACCATAATATGTGAGGCAGCGTGGTGGAATCAGGCTCTCGTAAATTTTGGGGCACGTAGAGTTATTGATATCATCTCCCAGCTTGTTCACTTATCTTCATTTGGATGAAAAAAAAATCCATTTATCTTGAATACTAGTCGAGATATTGGCAAATGAATGAGGTGGGGGTCACCTGTTTTCAGAGGTGAAATTATGAGGTGAGAAAATGGCCGCCAAAGATTAGTTATTTCCTTAACTTAAGAGTCCGTGGTAACTGAAAATTTACATTTTTTGTGCCTTAAATCAACGTTTTGCAGAAAAATCCACGCAGAAATGAGTTCTTTAATGGGCTTGAAAGGTGTTGAGCCAAAAGACAAAAATTTGATAAAAATGCAAAAACCTGCAGAAAAATGCAAATTTCTTCACTTTGATTATTTTGACGAGAGCCTGGTTCCACCACGCGCTGTCTCACCATAATATAACACAGATATATACCACAAATTTGTTTTTCTTTACTGTATGGAATATAAATAAAGTGAATCAATTTTCAGAAACAGAATTAAAAACATTGACGTTTTCTATCAGCTTTTTTTGTCCCAATGTTAATATTAACCAAATTCATGTTGGCAACAATAAAAACTGCCAGTTTATGATCAACAGTCTTCATAGTACTTCTGAAGCCACTAACTTCATCAGAACCGAAGAAAAATGAGTAAAAACAGAACAAAAAACTACCAAGATAAAACAGTAAGAGGTGTTTGAGCAGATGTGAAATCATCAACAAAAATTGTGAAATTAAATAAGTAAGTGGTATTAATTCTACAAAATGAAGAACAGCAAATCATAGTTAATGAAACTGGTGATAAATAACGCTAAACTTTATAAAAAGCACCCAGTACATCTATCAAAATAGAAAACACAAACGTATATCATCATCCGACTTCAGATAAACTAAATGAAAAGGCAGTGCACATGAAGATAATTTTTAAAAAAAGTAACTGAACTCAAAGTTTTTATAAATTTGATCCAACACAAGGAAAAAGTAATTCAAGGTAAAAATGTTGACAGCAATTTTTCAGATATTGTCTCTTACATTTTCAACAAATATCAGTTTGGTAAAGCAGTAAGTAGAATTATTTCCTTTCTCAAAAGTAGATCCGAAAAGGAAAACTTTAAAATGTAACTTATACTACAAGCTTCTTGTCTTTTATTTCATAACAAAAATTCTAAATAGAGCCAAGTTGGAAGCAGTTAAATTTTACATCTTAAAAGAGAGCCTTTCTTTAACTGATTCAGCCCGCAGATAATTTTGACTCAAGACGTAACTAATTTGTGACCACTTCGTGACTTCACAGGTCTCACAAAAAATTAATAAAGAAACATCTAAATTTGAAAAACCCTATGTGTGGCATATAGAAATTTTTAGAGTACAAAATACTATTCAATGAAACCAGAAAAAAAGGGTTTAAATGTAAGAGGTCAGGAAAAACGACAATAGGAAAGTGATACTCAGAAAAGGGAGCAATAGATAAGAGCCGGCTCCGAGCGGTTCTGAGTCAAAACACAAAAGATAATGAGCCGCTGTGAGCGTCCCTGCAGGCTGAATCAGTTAATGCAACACTAAAGACTATCACCCTCTCAAACTTCAAACATTTTTGTGTACCAATTACAACACTTGGCAAGACAACATATAATAATAATAATAATAATAAGACGAGACAACAACTGATACAAATGAATGAGCTTTTACCATAAAAATATTCATGATAGCGTTGATAGTGAGTAAACACACTTAGAGCTAGACAGCCAGCAGAAACATTATATTTAGACATTGTCATTAGAAGATAACTGCTGCCTATTGTGAAATTCTGTGTGATTACACATAACAAAACACAAAAACAGGACAATCTAGCTACATATTAATGATACAGATTGCAGTCATTCCAAATGATTTGTTAAATAAATGTACCTCACAAAACTCTTATGTGAAGAGACATTCCTTATGATTTGTTGGAGAAATACATGCGGTTTTAAACTTAATTTTCTGTGCTGATAAATATATTGCTCCATATGACACTGTACAGTGTTGACCTTGTTAAGAATGTTCTCTTTATGGGTGAATACACTAATCAATACACTATACACAGAATTAATCTTGTTGAGTGAACAAACACGCTGTCTACAATACATGAAATGATTGACGATCTGGTCCAGTTTTATGTCCTGTATGGATAAACAGTGGTCTGCAATACACTATAAAGACAGACTGATCTTATTGAGTTTGTTCTTTTGTGTAAAGCCACATACCGGTTTATACATGACATAAATTGACCTTGTCAAAAGTGAAGAAATGTACTAAACTTTAAATGACATAGAACTGACTATGTTGAGTGTGTCTCCTATGAGAACTGTTAAAATAATAATTTATAGAGGCACGACTTATCAATGTCTAAGTGCTGTTTTAGCCAAGTGTTTCCTTTGCCTATAAATATACCAGTCTAAAAACATTAGATACAGCACTGACTTCATAGGGTTTGTATTGATCTTAGATACAAACACTGCAATGCACTAAACACAGATTCCATCTTGAGTGAGTTTCATTTATAGTCAAACAAAGAGGTTAAAAAATAGCCACTACACACAAAGAACTAACCTTGTCGAGTGTGTGATCTGTTATCCTGTGTCTGGACGCCATGTCGCAGCACGGGGTCACTTGCCACGTTGCACACCAGTTTGTCCAACAGTTTGGGAGGCGGGAGGTTCTTGTATGTCTGGTCAAACGGGATCATGCGCTTGATGGAGCGGGAGTAGGTACGTTCCCGCTCCTTGGCCGACAGGCTGCTGTGTCGCCGCTGGTAGTCACGGGGAGGGGCGTGGTACCGGATCAGGCTGTCCACTTCTGCGCTGGACTGGGTGAATGGATTCTGACTCTGAAGACAGAGAATCAAAGATTGAGATAGGTTGTCAACTACCCATTTCAAACTCTCCACTAGTTTGGGTGGCGGTGGTGGAGGGGGGGGGGAAGGAGAGGGGGGGGGGGGGGGGGAGAGAGAAGGGGGAGGAGAGAGATAGACCGAGAATTCAGTACTCTAGAGGAGTTGAGAAGGGTGGCGGCGCATGGTACTGAATCAAGCTGTCCCCTTCTGCACTGGATTGAGAGAATCGATTCTGACTTTGGGGGATAATAAATTAAAGATA